CCCCAAAACCCCAAAACCCCAAAACCCCAAAACCCCTGTAAAATTCCAAAAAATTGAAAGAAGTTGAAATTCAACAACAAGTTGGTAGAACTAGTCATGGTCAGACCCGGTCAGGTCAGCCCTGTCGGAGTATGCATGCGCGTGCGGTTTCCACCCAAGCTTGTATAGCTCTGTAGAAAACTGGGTTAGAGCAGTCGATAAGAAGAAAAATGAGATTTTTGGGGCGAGATTTTGGAAACTTACTGAACGTGGTCAGGCCTTCTGCCTGAAATTGAGCCCATTTCTTAGCGATAATTTTGAGATCAGGCTTTTCATGAGTGCTATAGAGATTATAGAGAAGCTTACTATGTGGAAGAAGAGAATTCACTGATCTCCTTCATGGTTTTAAGTAGCTCATTACGGATTCTTACCTACTTCAAGGTGAAATATGAGAATCAGCAGCGAGCCAACTAGAATAGTGGTTCGTATTTAGTAAAAATGATTAAAATAATCTGGAATGCTCGATAATACAGGAAAAGATCTTTAATTTAGACTATCTGTGCAACTTCTAAATAGCTAATATTATATAGTAGACTCGAATTTCCTGCGAAAGTTGGCTTACCAAAGCTTGAACATTCCCTCTAATCTCAAGGAGCTTTGTGGTCAATAATTTGCCATGCTTCTTAAGGTATTCAACCAAAGAGGTAGTACAGTTATTATCCTGGTAATTTGAAGGTATCTGAATCCCAGATAAATTAGCATTAAGATCCTTCTTTTTAGCCTCTTTGAGCTTCATCCATTCTTCAAGTTTAAAGCTATCAAATTGATGCAAGAAAACTTTTAGCTGGATAGGCAAGATATTTTCGATGATCTTCGTGAACTGTTGCTTCAGAAAGGCGATTCTAGCAGTACCATATACTCCTATAATCTCTCGATTTTGCTGTATTAAGGTCTGGCGGACATTATCCGGATTCTCACTGATCATCTTCGGAAGTGTCACACTCCAGAAATGTTCCTCCCTCTGAAATACTTTCTCTAAATTCCCTGAAGTCTCCAACTTGTCAGCTTTGGCAGGTATACGTTCAAAGGCGGACTGGTTGGTTTTGAGTTCAGAGATATGGTCATATCTCTCCTTCTGTTTCATCTGCTGTATTTCTTGTGTTAACTTCTCATTATCCGCTTGCATCCTGCTCACTTGGTCATTAAGGACGACTACTCTCTTTGATAACCTCTCGTTCTCGCTCTCAAGGTCCTCGTAGTACTTCTTCATCTTATCCCTATAGCGCTTTACCTTTTCACGGTTCTTCTTTCGCTTGACTTCAGTAGGGCTCGAAGGAGTGCCAGGTATAGTAGGACGCCTAGATGACATAGTTGAAAATTTAAGGTTTTATACAAAATTAAGGGATTTTTAGAATTTTGGGGTTTTGGGGTTTTGGGGTTTTGGGGTTTTGGGG